GAATATTAAAATCTGCGAGGAACGTCTTTTTCAAGATGTGAGGGAGGGAATAGTGGTTGGAAAAAACACAACTGTAGTTGGTTGTTATCAGCTAAGGTACAAATACAGGGAAGTATGCAGGACTTGAAGGAGGTGCAGACACGTACAGTCTCCCGTGTGAGCCCCGCTTTTTGTGGTGGCTGGGTGGAGGGGCTGAGGTGTTCAGCTTAGCGGGATGGTTACAGGCGGCCTTGTCCAGTGTGAGGTCTCGGGGTGAGTTACCGCCCTTCTGTGCTCAGCTTACTGCAGGAGTTTTGAACCTACCTCTCTTTATATTGATTGTTTGTCTCCTCTCCTTCTCTTGGCAGTGTGTGACGGTGGAAGCTAGCTGAGAAGAAAGACTGGAAACCAGGTCTGTCAAAGAGAGGAGAAGCCTTGAGACTTAGCCCACACAGTATTAAGGTTACTGGATTGCTGCCCGTATGTTGTGAAATGCCAAACAGTTGAAAAAAGTAAGTTTGTTGGACTCTTTTCTTGAGCAGTGGTTTTAAAATTCAGTAGCTTCTGATATTGCTGGGAGAGTGTGTGCTGCTGCCTGGCCCTTTGCTGCTTCTGGCCGGTGCTGCCGAGATGCTGATGCCTCGGGGCTGGACTTGGCGGTGGGGTCTGTAGTTTGAAATTCCCACCAGTGCTTCTGCTCCTCCTTCAGAGCTGGCGCCTTTCTGTACCGCTGGGGGTGTTGCCACGCTGGGTGGTGAATAGGCGGAGGAGGGGGGTGGAAGATCTTAAGAGGGCTCTGGTGATTTGAAAACAAACAAAAAAAGGCAATACTGGGATGGAGGGAAGGAGGAAGGAGTCAGCAAGAGAAGGCCTGTGCAGTGTGTTGGAGGTCTGACGGAGGGGCTGCAGAGGAACAGCTGCAGAAGTTGGGGTTAGAGAAGAGGAAAATAAAGGAATGTGCCTGCTAGACCAAGAGAAACGTGAGAGGAGCTGGTATTATATGCAGTGCTCTTGCTTTGTGTATGTTGTTGGAGTAATTTAGGAACTTTTTATATATATCATCTTGTTTGTTTATTCATTAAACAGAAGAGAAGACTCAGGTAGAACCTCTTCCCTCCTCCCCTCTTTTTTTTTCGTAGAACCGTCTTTCCCCAGTAACTGAAATTCTGCATTACAGCAAACAGTTGGCTGGTGTTCTTGACATGAGGTTTTACTGGGAAGTGGCATTTTAAATCTTCGGAAATGTAAGAACCAAATTTCACCCAATCCCTAGCAGTGTGAGGCACAGTTCCTATGTTCTTCTCTGTGCACTTTCCCATTAAATATTTAAGAGCATTTGTGAAGGCTGTTCTCTGGAGATATTCAAGACCCGCCTGGACGCAGTCCTGTGCAGCCTGCTCTGGGTGACCCTGCTTGGGCAGGGGGTTGGGCTGGGTGACCCACAGAGGGCCCTCCCAACCCCCACCATTCTGCGATTCTGTGATTCTGTTGCATTGCTGCCACGGAGGTGTCTCAGTGCTTCCACAGGTCCCTGCTGTGCATGGTCTGTGCTCCTGTGAGGAGAGACACTGCCACCACCTCGTAAGCCTTGCAAGTCTTTGGCCTTAAACATGGCATGGAGTGGTAGCAGTTGGTGATATGATACTCGGTGACTTGTCCTGAGACCTCTGAATGACATTGCCCATCGCTGTTGTGAAGTTGCATGAACTCTGTTCTTCTCAAGGTGCTCTCCAGGAGACACGATCGTTTGTCACGCGTACACGCTGTCCTCGTGAGGTTGATGTCGTAGTCTTCGTCTTTTGCCACATTTTCAGCAGGGCTTTGAAGCTGGTTTGTTCCAGCAGCTTTTGCTTGTCAGATTGTTCCAGCTCTGTCCCAGCAGCAGGGTGAAGGACCTTTCCCCGCAGAGGTGATGTGTGCTGTCAGGCTGTTTGCTACCTGGGAGCGCAGCGCTGAGGTGGTGCAGCTGTTCTTGGCCGTGCCTGGATTTCCCCTCGTGCAGCTCCTGTGCTGCTGCGTGTGATGTGCAAACGCATCTCGGTGACCTGAGCAAGCAGCGAGTGTCACGGACACCTGGAAGGGTTGCTCTGAAATGTCAGCTTTGTTTACTGCATTTTCTAATGTGAGTGATGGACTAAGAACTCCTAATAGACAGGAACAGTTAAAAATGATTCATGTCTTGATCATCATCTGTGTGTGTGTTTTCGTTAGGTTTCAAATGCCCGCGATCAGTGAAATGGAGAAAATACAGAAGAACACCAGCAGCGTCCTCTCAAGGCAGAGGTAAGTTACCTTGATGTCGTAGTCAAAGGCTCTGTCGGCGCATCGGACAGAATGCTAGGGGTGTAACTTTCAAACTAGGGCTGCACTTGGCTTTTATTTTACAGCTGAGACAAAGTGTTCCACATCACATACCGGGTTGTGTGGGAAAGTCAGTAACAGAAACCACCTCTGCACAGCAGGTGCACGGGTGGAGCGGGGTGGAACGGTTGGTAAAGGGGCTGCGCAGCAGGAAGCGCGTCCATCGGTACCTCGTGTTCCTGCTGTTCGCAGCTGCGTCCGAGCTGTTCGCGCTGTGCTTCCAGCTGGCCAGGCCCAGCCGAGAGCACAGCAAAGACCACGGCAAGCAGCGACGTACCTTCCGTCCCCTTCCATCGGGATGACTGCGCCCGGAGGCACGGGTAACAGCGCGATGGCGTTAGCGAATGTGGTGCTCTGCCTCAGGTACTGCTTTTTATTGTTCAGGTCACCAAAGGTGAACAGTCACCAGATGACGGTGTAACTGAAATTAGTGATCAAATTATTTATCAGGATAGAACACACTGACACTGGCCTGTGTCATTAGTACGTTAACTCTGTCTGTGTGTGTCTGTCTGTGTGTGTGTCTGTGTCTCTGTGTGTGTGTGTGTGCACGTACCTTCTGTCCAACCGCTACACAGAAATGAGTGGGGCAGTTTAGCATCTGGTAATTACTGATTCAGTGGGGGAAGGCACTCCTCAGTCAAATGAGGTTATTTCATCTTTAACTGATTAAAACCCTTCTATAGAGCTAGGCAAGCGCGATGGTCGCTTGATGGCGCGGACACTTACGTGGCTTCTGGACTTGCAGGCCGCCTCAGGCTGGGCGCGCTCAGAGCAGTGCAGGGAGGGGGTTTACCCTTGGCTCTTCCGCCCAGTTGAGGTCATCTTTGACGTCCGGCACTAACCAAGTGGAGGACTGGCATCAGTAGCAAGAAAAGGGACCTGACACTACGCCCTTGCTTGTAAAGATTGATTTAGAGGAACATGTTGTCTCAAAAAAGGCGGTATCAAACAAGCCCCACCAGCCTAGCACGTAGACAAGAGATGTTTCAAGTACAGACGCACGTGCTTCAGAAAGTTACACTTAGGTTTATTCCGTAGTTACACATAACCTACAGCGTTCTTTCACCATTAAACATTGTCTATGGTCTATTATTATTTGTGAATAGCAATACATGTCGGCAGCAATAAAGCAAAGCAAGAACCCCAGGATGAAGAGCCAGCACCCTTTGATTGCATAGTTTAAAATTTACCCTATGATTCTCTGCCCTGTGTTGCTTAGACGACTACTTAATGCCAAATCAGTTTGAGAGAATTTCTGTAAGGAGCAAAAACTGTAAAGGGCAGCTGGGTCTGACAATGAACTTTAGTCTATGAGCTATTTTCATAAGAAGTTTTTCTATGTAAAAAACATACCAAGTTCTTGAACTTTTCAAGCACAGCAAATAAATCTTTGTGGCTGGTTTGGGGGCTGACAGAGGTTCAGCTGAAAATACATCACCTCTGAGGTCAAAAACACCTCTCTAAAATCAGCATTTGCCCAGTCACTTCCCTGAAGGCAGTAACTGGTGTTTGCCAGTTCAGCAGCCACGCGGGAGGAGGTGTTCGGGGGGACAAGTGAAGTAATTTTCCTGTGTGCCTGAGCCCCCCTCACATTGGCTGATGCATGGTGAGCACTTTTCAGGGATGTCATGAGCATTTTTCAGCAAGGTGTTTTCGGAGCTCCCCATGAAGGTGGTTTCTGGGGTTTGCTCCATCTCCCGTAGGCAGTAGGAGGTACAAGGGCAATCTGTGACTCTGGCAGGCAACCACGCACGGGACTTCAGCTGGTGACAGTCCCACTTCCCAGCGTGAGCAGACAGGACAGAAGAACAGGGCTAACAGGACAAAGAGGAAAAGGTTTCTGACCTCTGCTTTTTGTCTCTCAGACTGCTTCAGGGCTGGCTGAGGAACAGGAGTTAAGTCAGGAAAAGTCAAGAAGAACTGGACAGAAGCGCGGCACACCGCTCTCCTCCGAGCAAGCAAACAGTAAGTGCATGAAAATGTACAAACACCACTGGTACATGGCTGTTGTGGCACGTTACAGGCATGGCAACTGCGTTCTTTAGGGTGAGCACGAGACACTGTTTTCCATCATCTTCATGCGTCCATGTCCTTGACATGTTCTCCAGCCTTTCTTGCTGTCAGACTGAACCTTTTTTGGATGCAGAGTAGCAGAAAGTAAAGCAGTTTTAGTCATCGTGATCTCCTTTGAGCAGCTCCGCTGGCTCAGGGATTTCTTTCATTCCTGAAAGAAACAAGCAGCTTGTTAGAAGGAAACACACACACTTCTGTGCATAAACCGCAACTGTCTGGTGTATGAAGCACGCCTCATCGAATTCCAGCTTCGTTTGTCCAACAGCCTGACTTCCAGAGTGCCCCAGGCAGCCAGGGAGCCTTTCGGCCGTAACAAAGCCTGGCAGCGCTTCGGCAGCGGCCCTGGCAAGGCCAAGGCCGTATCGCTGTGCCGCAGGGGGTTTGCTCAAGGGGCGGATGGCGGAACTGGCGCCATTTGCTGTCCCACTAAACACGACAAGGAGCGTGGCTTTTTTTGTACTTGGGAAGTACTTCTTTTGTATGAAGAGAAGTTCCCAGATACTTGCATAGCAGGTATTACAAAATTTCTACCCTAAAAGTTTTCTCTAACTAGGATCAACGTTACAAAGAACATTTAAGCACTTTCATTTGAGTATCTGAAGGGACGGAGCATGGCAGCTCGTCCCTGTGCAGGTGCCTGTCAGCATGCTGTTCAGCGCCGACTGCAGACGCAGGGCCCGAACGCACCAACAGCGCTTGTGAAGCGTGGCGGAAGGGCCAGATCCGCACCCCTCACACTGGGGACAGCACATCGGTCTCACAGCAAAGGCATTTTGTTTCAGCTGAAACTTGCACTAGTGATTGATAGAGAGCTTGGGAAACTTAAAATACAAACCATTCTCATTTACTTAATGATACTGATGTCCTCAAATGCAGAGTACGCTCATCTTTTCTATTTTTTTTATAATGGAAAGTGTGGTGAGCTTTTCAAGTAAGCTACGGGGAGAGGAAGGAGGGGGTTGGCTCTAATTTTGTAAATTCTTTATTTCCTTGCTTAATTCCTTGACAGTGCATTAGGGTGGAAGGCAACTGGATGAGCTTTAGAGATCAGTAATGAAACTCTGCTGTTTGCCAGTGACCTCTACCTTTGCTTTCCTTAAGCCTGCTCCGGGTAACACCCCCTCCTAGAACACGCCAGAGGTTTCACCCTTCGCCTCCTCAGGCTGCTCACACGACTGTCTTTTTCTGGGTCATGTCCTCCCCAGAGCTCTCTGTTGACCCTTGTTCATGGGTGCTGTCTGCAGACGGCTTCGTCACGTTCCACGGCTCAGAGCACGCGGCAGTGACCTGGCCTTCAGCCTTGGCAGCGTTACCTTGTGCCCTCCAAAACAAATGGCTTCTGCAGGCCCATTTTCTACTTTTACTTTGAATTACTCCTTAAAAAGTCACTGCTCTTGGCATGTCTTGGCCGAGCCACTGCCCTGTCTCGATGTGAGCTTCAGGGACTGGTGCTCACCATGTGTTGGGAGCAGTTTGGCATCGCTACACGGTGTGACTGGGGAGTAGCGTGCTGCCCTCACCCAGAGCACGGCAGGGACGGTTCCTGCCCAGCCAGCTCCCCGTCCAGGCCACGTGCCTGAGGGCTGCCTCCTGCCCAGAGCACAGGCTGGGGCTGGAGCAGGGCTGCTTGTTTTGTTGAGGGTGATGACGTGTCAGAGAAAACCAGGAAAGGTGGTATTATTTATGCTCCACCCAACAACCACTGCCTGCTGCCAGTACGCAGCGCGGTTCCTTGACTTCCACCAGTCACTGGGCTTTTTGCAGCTGCGTTAAATGAACACTATGGCTTTATCTCAGGTGTCAGCTTCGGCTGACACTTTCTTTGATGTTAAACTGAATGAGGAATTTCAGAGCCTGAACAGCCGATCTCTAGGTGAACTTACGTGTTTCCATATCTCTCCAGTCCTCTCAATGACAATCGTTTGTGATTTATTGACAGGTGAGGTAACCTTGTAGTCGTCAGACAGGAGGCCCAGAATAGGATACTGATTCCTGTACCTGTGTGGAGGAGAGTTGCAAACCTGTGAACTGAAGCCTGCGCACCCGTACCCAGCTCACCGCCTCTGATCCCGCCACACAGCCGTTAATCCCCAGAGATCTCCACTAGTAACTAAAAAGCTACCACAGGGGTGTAAATGTTGCTGGAAGGTGCCGGCCGCCCCCCAGCTGCTGTTGCAGCGCTTGGTACTGAACCCTCCCCGGGCAGGAAAACCTCGCGACTTTCCCCCCTTTGAGTTGGACAGGCACTGTGAAGACACTTGCAGGAGGCAAGAACTTGGTTAACGGAGGGCACACAATGCAAAACGAAAAGGATCTATGGCTAAGAAAGGTGAATAACGACATTACTTCTTAGTGATGACAGCTGTCACGCCAGGGGACTGGCTGCCTGAGAGTTTCTCATGCTTCAGTCGGAAGAGTTCCTGAGAAAACCAGAAGTAAACATCCCAATGAAATAATGTTGTCTGAAGTGTTGGCTGGCTAAAGGCACAACAAAGTATTTGCAGAAATTCCTCTCAAAGAGCACTCTGAAAAGTCTGTCCTTCCAGAAGGCTGGCAGAGGAGCAGCACTCAGGGAAACAAGCCCCAGCCCCAATGCTGAACCAGGAGAGTACAAGGGACTTCCTAGGAAGTTTCCACCTACACAGGAACTGCAGGCTGAAATACAACAATTCTTAGAAGATCAGTAAATTGTCTTACTTTACCTCTTGCTGTTGTTTAATAAAAGCGTCTTTCTCCTCCACCATCGATGTCAGTTCATGCAACCTGATTTGCAAGTCACTGTTATTTCCCTCTCTCTTCGATATATCTTCCTGGAACTGGCATAACTGAGACTGCAAAACAGACGTGGAGGAGCTGTTAGGTGTCGTCTGGTGCTCTGTGCAGGAGGCCTTGCAGTACGCACCCAGGACTCCGGTCGTGTTTTTTTCATTGAATTATGAACAGTAACACTTGGATTAGTGCCATTTAAAATCCGCAGTGGACATACACACATAGGCATACACAAAACCCAATGACTTTCGAGTAACAATGTGGAGCTGCGTGGTAAATTCAGAAAGCGCTCATGGATACTGGTAGGATTCAGTCCAATTTGATAGGTTTCTAACTCGATAAAGCCGATACAGCACTAACCAAGCTGAAGTGGCTTCCAGGGTGGTGAAGTATTACTGCAGTGCTTTCAGTGCCTGCTGTAGGTGACCCTGCTTGGGCAGGGGGGTTGGACTAGATGACCCACAGAGGTCCCTTCCAACCCCCAACATTCTGTGATTCTGTCATTTCCTAGATGTGGTTTTGACTGGGACTTTCCTTTATTTTCTGTTGGGTGTCTCTTGGATAGTTTCTTACCTTGCCTGGACACAAGAATTAGCAAAGCAGCTGTTTACCTGCAGTCCTGCGAGGTGAGGAACACGCAGACGCCACGCGAGTCAGCTTACCCTAAGGCTGCGGATCTCGCGATCTTTATCCTCTCTCAGGTTATTGATCATCTCCACGTAACGGCTCGAGAGCTCGTCGGTGGTGGTCTGTAGCGTTGGATTAGAGCAGGTCTGCAGAAAATGAAGGTTTTTATTTTAAAAAGAGCGTTTTATCATTAATTTTCATACATTACTGCATGTGTATCTGTGCATACCCGCTGTTGGACACAGAACACAGGTGCTTGTTACCTGCAGCTTGAGGCTCTGGATCTCCTGCTCCAGGGAGCGCTTGCAGTACTCCAGTTCCTTCAGCCGACAATCCTTCTCGCCCTCGCCGAGCCGCAGGGAGAGGAGCTGCTCTTCCAGGGAGCGACACTTGGCCGTGCTCTCCCTGAGCCCTTGCTGGAAGGCACCAAAGTGGCGCGAGTGAATGCGTGGCGTTCCATACGGAAGTACCGGAGTCACGCACACGGATCCCAGGCAGCAGTTTCCCAGAATACTCGGAAGTCAGCGTACTGCCTGGTTCCTGGCTGACTGCAATTGTACTGAAAATAGGGTGTTCAGATTTACCTGCTGCTGACGATTGTTCTCCCGGAGAGAAGCCAACATGGTTTCATATTCTTTTACTTGAGAATCTTTAAAAGCCAAATCCTTCTTAAGCAGGACACTGTCAGTTTCTAACTTCTGCAAGACAAAGTGTTTGCAGTCAGTAGCTGCCATTTTTTAGTAAGTGCTGTTTTAGAACTGAGAAAATGCTCAATTTTCATGAAACTATGTTTTTTTTAACTGCATAGGACACAGTTGCCCATCACTGTAGGATCTTTGGCTTTGTGTTGTGGTAAGCACTCAGAACATGGACACAGCTCTTTCAGTCTGTGCCAGAAAGAATTCTTTGTGGTTATTAAACAGAAACCAACAAAAGTGCCCAAACTCGGCCCCCGTCACTGCACAGGCTCCTTGTCCAGTGTCAAAGGTGACAGTTCTCACTTCACAGAATGCTGTGAAGTTTCCAGCGGGGCCCAGTACACGGGCTGTTGTGTTTCTGGTTCCCTGCCTGTGATGATCTGCTGGGCTGCCTGGAGAGCCGCCGGAGCGGGTAAAGCCACGGCTGGCAGCAGCCTTCCCAGGAGCAAACGGAACCGAGGTCTCCTGATTCCTGGAATGGGCACTCCATGTATGCACGTCCGTGCTGAAAGTGAAAACACAGCTGCTCCCCTTCCACACACAGACACCAGTGTAGGTAGACAAGCACCCTATGGACCAGTTCAGAGCTTTAAGTCTGATTTCACTCAGCAACGTCTTTTCTTCATTTGAAAGCGTTCAGGTTTTTAGGCGTCAACAAATGGAACACCTGAAAACTGCTGCTAGCAAGAAATCTAACCCGACGCACTGTACAGGTTGATTAATGAACCAGCCCTTTCCAGCAGGGCAACTGAAGCCTGGACTCACAGTTTGGATTTCATCGTAACAGACTTCCCCCGACGGGTAAGAACAGGAACAGTGCAGCTTACCCCCAGGTCATCCTGCAAATGGCAGAGCTCCTCACGGAGGTTTTTGAAAGTGGAAAGCACAAGTCTCAAAGATTTATCTGATGTCACTCTCATCTAGAGGGAAAAAAATGAAAAGGTACCCTTCTGATTAGTGAACGTGCTTTGCTTCCAATCTGCTCGACAGTGGGTAGGACAGAAAACTGCTGCACAGCTGAAAATAACGGTCACTGTCAGCACTACCGCACGCCACTCTGCAGGGCCCGCAGTTTCTACAGAGAAACAGATTCGCATGCGCTTTGTCCCAGAACTGCCATGGTGCTGAGATCACTGCCTGGTAACACGGGGCGACATTTTCCAAGTGGAAGGCACAAGAGAGTGAAGAGCTGCGTTTGCACACCAGTGAAGGGACAAACAGAGGTGTTCATACTGCACAATCATCTTTTGAGTGTTCAGAGCTTGGTGACTTAGGCTGACTTAAAGAAATAACTACCTGAGCTGAGAGGCCGCAGAGGCCTGAGTCATCAGCTTTGTCATCTGGCACAGCACGCCTTCCGCCCAAGAGCAAGAGAATTTAATTAAAATTCTTAAAAATTTAAATAAAAAAGCGCCATACAACCGACTCCTCCCTTTAAAAGGAGGGTCCCAGGGATCAGAGGAGTCAACTGGATGAAGAAGAAAGGCCGTAGTGCACGACAGCTTAGCGCTGTTCTTTCTTTTAACGCACGTTAACAGCTGTGCATTATTTTATGTTAAAACACGAACTGTTGCCCTTCACGGTACACTTCTAATAGCTGAAAGAAGAAATACGGATTTTGAAAGAACACAAAGAACTCCTCGAGTTCTGACTCATATGGAAGGGCTGAGTGTTCTGTGCAAAGGATGCATTTCTTACTATCTGGACAGAAGCGATGTCCTCTCCGTTTCTTTTCCTCTGAAGCTTCCCCTTACCTTCATTTGTGGACCACTCGAACTGAGGGAAGCTATCCAGATCTCCACCGATACGGTGATGAGCCCTTGTATTTTGTATCCCTGCTGGTGCGATTATGTGACTGAGGCTTCAGAAAGAACATTTCTGTTGTAACAACTCACCTGTTTGTTTTTTAATTAAAGTGGAATTTCAGTTTTGACCTACGGTTTCATTGGCTTTATTGTGAAATGTACTGTAAGAGTAGATTATAAGAAGGCACTAAGTCAAAACTGTTCAATTTGGACTATAAAAATATAAGTAAATGCCCACTCAGCAACTCCTTAGTGCTAGAGGTTGCTAATTCCATAGGTGTCACGTACTTCTGCAGTGGAATTCCTCATGCTCTCAGACTGCAGCCTCTGGGCATACCCAGCACAGTCCTTGCCTGCGCAGGGTGGCAGCTCGCTCGGAGTCCTCCTCGGATGCGAGAAGGCACCACGCGGAACTCTGCTGGTAGGCCCGAGGGGTTTGTAGCCTGAGAGCACACTTTGTACGTACACTGACAAACGCGGTTGCCCAGGAGGTGTTTTAGGTGCTTTTTTTGTAAGCACAGGTGTGAGAATGTAAAACCAGCGGGACTTCCAGAAAACGGGAAATGCGTGTTTCAGCTCTCTCACACAGAGCTGAGCTGGACCGGCTGCCTGGGACGGTGGTGTAACATGAGGCCATGAAATATTTTGGTGTCGGTGTCCATCTCTGTTGTAAAAGAATCAGAGAATAAGTGAGGTTGGAGGGGACTTGGGAGGTCATCTTGCCCAGCCGTCCCGCTCCAGGCAGGGTCAGCGGTGGAGCCAGAGCCGGCAGCTCCCTCACGGCTTCACTCGAAGGTCTGTTCTGCCAGGAAGGGAGACGAAGCTCCACTCCCGGCGGCTGCGATCGCCGGCCTCGGGGAGGGCAGCCCTCGTCCCGCCTGCTGC